TAAGAATTGCACGTGTCAGGGCATTGATAGGGTTGCAAGTATTGGGTACTTAGGGGTGATTTTGGATCACAATCTGTCATTTAAAAAGCATTTAGAAACCACTTCCTCTCGCATCAGAAAGTTAATATATGTGATGAAGTTGCTCAGGAATTCTGCTGACACAACGACTCTTTGGTTAGTGTACACAAGCTTGGGAGAATCACTTCTCAGTTATTGCATTCCAGTGTGGGGCGGGACTTCTGATACTGCGATAAAAGAGCCCAACGAGCTGTCCTTAAAACAATGTGTTGCAAACCTTACCGTTTCCCTACTGAAGCACTTTTTTCTGAAACTCAAGTTTTGAGCGAATTATACGTTCTTAAGGTGGCTTTAAAAATGCATCGCGCTGTAATCGTCTCCCCTAATTACACTACCCTGATTCAGAAGAGAGTATTTAAGGTGCCCACTGTTGTTGTACGAACAACTTTCGCGCGTCGCCTGCCAAAATTTATGTTGCCGTATATCTATAATAAGGTAACAAAACTTTGTAATATCAGAGAACTTAACACGAAACAGGCAAAGCGCACTATCACCTCAAGGTTATTGTCCATGACTTACATGCAATCCGAAAACCTGCTTAAACGACTGGAATAGCATTACCCGAAGTCCTTGGCTCTCACCGTCCTACATGCATAGGTACAGACAAGCACACACACATACACACACTTTATTTCTTTATAACGTAGTTAAAAAGTTAGTTTCTGTATTCTGTAATTTTACTTTTCATCTGTTGCAATATTTTTTTTTTACATTCATTGGGTGCCCATGATACAGGACCTCCTAATGTCGGACCCATGGTTATAAGCTGACTGTATGATGTAAATTTTAATAAATATATTAGTATTTGTATTTGTTTTCTTATCTAGTATGATTCTTATAAAGCAATGTTGATTAAATCATTTTTTATTTTACGATAAAACTTGAAAAACCCTAGAGTGTCACACCCGTTACAAAGGCCTGGTCGTACCCGTTACATTTTTAAAATAAATTATAAAGTACATTATACATGTTCTTACATTTGAAATAACGTAGTTATTTCCGTATAATCACGTTTCAACCGTTTTTCAAAGTCCCATAACTTTTTTTTGAAGCCACTACAAACGAAAATTCTTTCACTACAATCAACTACAAATGATTCTCGATGAGAATCAATAAGAAAATTTGGGTTCGGTTGAAACGGGATTATAAGGATTTTTCAAAGTCCCATAACTTTTTTTTGAAGCAACTACAAACGAAAATTCTTTCACTACAATTAACTACAAACGATTCTCGATGAGAATCAATAAGAAAATTTGGGTTCGATTGAAACGGGATTATACGCATTTTTCAAAGTCCCATAACTTTTTTTTAAAGCAACTACAAACGAAAATCCTTTCACTACAATTAACTACAAAAGATTCTCGATGAGAATCAATAAGAAAATTTGGGTTCGGTTGAAACGGGATTATACGGATTTTTCAAAGTCCCATAACTTTTTTTTTAAGCAACTACAAACGAAAATTCTGTCACTACAATCAACTACAAACAATTCCCGATGAGAATCAATATACAAATAACTTTTTTTTGAAGCAACTACAAACGAAAATTCTTTCACTTCAATCAACTACAAACGATTCTCGATGAGAATCAATAAGAAAATTTGGGTTCGGTTGAAACGGGATTATTTTTCAAAGCCCCATAACTTTTTTTTAAAGCAACTACAAACGAAAATTCTTTCACTTCAATCAACTACAAACGATCTCGATGAGAATCAATAAGAAAATTTGGGTTCGGTTGAAACAGGATTATAAGGATTTTTCAAAGTCCCATAACTTTTTTTTGAAGCCACTACAAACGAAAATTCTTTCACTACAATCAACTACAAACGATTCTCGATGAGAATCAATAAGAAAATTTGGGTTCTGTTGAAACGGGATTATACGGATTTTTCAAAGTCCCATAACTTTGTTTTGAAGCAACTACAAACGAAAATTCTGTCACTACAATCAACTACAAACGATTCTCGATGAGAATCAATAAGAAAATTTGGGTTCGATTGAAACGGGATTATACGCATTTTTCAAAGTCCCATAACTTTTTTTTAAAGCAACTACAAACGAAAATCCTTTCACTACAATTAACTACAAAAGATTCTCGATGAGAATCAATAAGAAAATTTGGGTTCGGTTGAAACGGGATTATACGGATTTTTCAAAGTCCCATAACTTTTTTTTTAAGCAACTACAAACGAAAATTCTGTCACTACAATCAACTACAAACAATTCCCGATGAGAATCAATATACAAATAACTTTTTTTTGAAGCAACTACAAACGAAAATTCTTTCACTTCAATCAACTACAAACGATTCTCAATGAGAATCAATAAGAAAATTTGGGTTCGGTTGAAACGGGATTATTTTTCAAAGCCCCATAACTTTTTTTTAAAGCAACTACAAACGAAAATTCTTTCACTTCAATCAACTACAAACGATCTCGATGAGAATCAATAAGAAAATTTGGGTTCGGTTGAAACAGGATTATAAGGATTTTTCAAAGTCCCATAACTTTTTTTTGAAGCCACTACAAACGAAAATTCTTTCACTACAATCAACTACAAACGATTCTCGATGAGAATCAATAAGAAAATTTGGGTTCTGTTGAAACGGGATTATACGGATTTTTCAAAGTCCCATAACTTTTTTTTTGAAGCAACTACAAACGATTCTCGATGAGAATCAATAAGAAAATTTGGGTTCGGTTGAAACGGAATTATACGGATTTTTCAAAGTCCCATAACTTTGTTTTGAAGCAACTACAAACGAAAATTCTGTCACTACAATCAACTACAAACGATTCTCGATGAGAATCAATAAGAAAATTTGGGTTCGGTTGAAACGGGATTATACGGATTTTTCAAAGTCCCATAACTTTTTTTTGAAGCAACTACAAACGAAACTTCTTTCACTACAATCAACTACAAACGATTTTCGATACGAATCAATAAAAAAAATTGAATTTGGCCGAATCGAGGTGCTAACGGTTTTTCGAAGTCCCATAACTTTTTTTTGAAGCAACTACAAACGAAAATTCTTCCACTTCAATCAACTACAAACGATTCTCGATGAGAATCAATAAGAAAATTTGGGTTCGGTTGAAACGGGATTATTTTTCAAAGCCCCATAACTTTTTTTTAAAGCAACTACAAACGAAAATTCTTTCACTTCAATCAACTACAAACGATCTCGATGAGAATCAATAAGAAAATTTGGGTTCGGTTGAAACAGGATTATAAGGATTTTTCAAAGTCCCATAACTTTTTTTTGAAGCCACTACAAACGAAAATTCTTTCACTACAATCAACTACAAACGATTCTCGATGAGAATCAATAAGAAAATTTGGGTTCGGTTGAAACAGGATTATACGGATTTTTCAAAGTCCCATAACTTTTTTTTGAAGCAACTACGAACGATTCTCGATGAGAATCAATAAGAAAATTTGGGTTTGGTTGAAACAGGATTATACGGATTTTTCAAAGTCCCATAACTTTTTTTTGAAGCAACTACAAACGAAAATTCTTTCACTACAATCAACTACAAACGATTCTCGATGAGAATCAATAAGAAAATTTGGGTTCGGTTGAAACGGGATTATATGGATTTTTCAAAGTCCCATAACTTTGTTTTGAAGCAACTACAAACGAAAATTCTGTCACTACAATCAACTACAAACAATTCACGATGAGAATCAATAAGAAAATTTGGGTTCGGTTGAAACAGGATTATACGGATTTTTCAGTCCCATAACTTTTTTTTTGAAGCAACTACAAACGATTCTCGATACGAATCAATAAAAAAATTTGAGTTTGGCCAAATCTGGGTGCTAATGATTTTTCGAAGTCCCATAACTTATTTTTGAAGCAACTACAAACGAAATAATTTTTACTACAATCAACTACATACGAAAGTCTTCAAGAATCGTTAAGAAAAAAAATTATTTTCCAAAGTCGGGTGCTAGGTTCACACAGCTTAACAATATGTCTTTAAAAAAATACTGTTTATTTTTCTAAAATACTATTTATTTTCCTTCTTAATCCTAAATATACTTTAACCATTTTCTTTCTTTTTCTTATAGTGACTACAAACAAACAAGGAGGAGGTCCTAGATTTGTTGTGTATGGATAAAAATATTCCTGTGAACTGATTTTTACTATTCCTGTTACCCTATTTACCAAGTCAGGATCTTATAATGGGTTCCTTGGATAGTCAAGAATACTCTTCATAATTTAGAGACACATCTTTAAAGTACCGCTGTGGCCAAATAAATAGAAGTATGGAGGGACAGTTAGAAACTTGGTCTTTAAGTATTTTGTTATTGTAACATAACAATTTTATATTTTAACATTTTATTCATTGAGCAAAAGTATACGAAATTTAATCATATTTAAACCGAATGACCTACATATAGTGCTACACTAATAATAATTTTTAACCCCGGTAATGACAAATTTCTGGGCACTTACATTTCATGTCTTTTCAATGTTTGTGGAGGTAGGTACTAGATAATTTATTTTAAGCGGAAGATAGATCAATGTAGGTATTGTAATTTGATAATTTCCAAACATAAAATGTAGCATGGTGGTTTAAAGGTTCTGATGCTTACTTTTCCAATTGTCTGAAATGTCCTACAAATAACTTTACTTACTCCAATTCCAAGCACATAACGTGCACCAAAATGAATAAAGCAACATTTTACAATCTATCATTTTGATATTCCATACTGATATTATAATAGTGAAAGTGTCTGCTTGTCTGTTACCCCTCCATGCTTAAACTGCTGAACTGATTTAGATGAAATCAATGGACATAGAAAAATCATCCTAGGTTCTAAAAATACTAGGTTTTAATACCAAGGGCAATAAAATAGGTACTTATGTTTATGAGTGAACAAAAGAAATAAATGAAATTAAACTAATATACTCACGTTAAGAAGATATTAGAGAATATGTTGGCTTTCTCACTGGGATTTGTTCCTTGTAGTGTAACCTTTGAATCCATTTTATATAGAAATCGTACCGAAATTTAAGTCCTTTACGACTTTACTCATAAACTTCTATCTTGCTTCTTCTGTTCAGCATGTCACCACAACAAGGTAGGTTTTAATGTGATAAAAATGTAAAACACCTACGTATTATATATACGTGCCGTATAAATTTTGAATTTACGGTTTATGGCTGGACAGATAAAGATAAATTCGTTGTAGTTGCATAATATTACGAATTTCAGCAATTGAACTCTTATTTTAAATCCGAACCTATAGTTTATCAAGCTGCAAATGCCACGCACCTCAAATAGTTTGAAGAGAAGACCACATAAATACTTTATTTTGCTAAAATTAGTTTAAATTACTGTATAAACAATTTATTATTTATTTTTATGAATGAAGCAGAACGCACATTTTACGTGCCCACGAAACCGAAACAGTGTCAATCACAGACTAGTTAGAGATACTACGTATGTGTCAATCAGCCCAAAGACCAGTGTTGCCAACTACTAGCATTGCCCAGTTTTTAGACTTTTTTTTTTTGGTTACGTTCTCCCTTTTCAGGGAAGGCAAGGGGAACAATGCCCATACATATACAGTCTTAACTTAAATTATTCTGTTTTTCTTTTTACATTAGATTGTCGGTGTGACGCATTCTAATGTTTCTTGAAGTGTTTGGCACGAAATGTATCGAGCTGGCTTTTTCAATAAGCTTCTGTGAGGTAGTCTTAGTCTTAGTAGAACGGCGGGCTGTTTCCGCAACTCGACATCTGGTGCCTATTTTGCGTGGGGATTGGCATCAGTCCTGCCATCCCAGCTCCTCCAGAAAGCTCAGCAGTCCCCGAACGTTACTGCAGGCCTCTACTATAGTCTTCGGGCTTCCCATTAGAGAAATCCTTTGTCTTGCAACGCCCGTGCACTCCAGCAGCACATGGGCGCTCGTCTCCTCGTCCTCCAGGCAGGCTCTGCACAGAGGGCTGTCAGAAATACCTATATTACAAAGGTGTTTGTTGAAATAGCCGTGACCCGTGAGTATACCCACGATTTGTTTTAAGGCTTGTCTAGGAAGTCTGATTAACTTACGTGTTAGCTGCAGGTTTACCTTGGGAACGGCTTCCCTAACTTGCCTGCAGTCTGTGAGTTCTGTCCAGTATTCGTTATGTTGTCGTTGACAGCGCTCCCTTATCCATGTTCGCAGCTGTCGATAGGGTATGGGTACAATAGGCTCCGGACCAATGGCCGTCCTGCTAGAACCTTCCCTGGCTAAGCAGTCCGCCGCATCGTTACCCCTTGAGCCGCTGTGTCCTTTAATCCACTGCAAAGTCAATCTATTGTCGTTAGCAATATTAGTCAACTTACAGTGGCATTCATAAATTAAGCCTGATGTCATTATATTGTTGTCCAGTGCCTGTAGGACAGAAGCGCTGTCAGAGAGAATACGAATGTGTTTTCCTCTTACCTTGCGACAATCTATCGCTTCAGCGGCCTTGATGATGCCCACACACTCTGCCTGGAAGACCGTGTTATAGGCTCCCAATGCTGTTGAGATGTGTATATTTAGGTCTTCAGAGAAGACACCCGAACCTGTACCGTAGTTGGTTTTTGAGCCGTCTGTGTAGACCCTCAACTCCTTTTGCAGACAATGGTCCGGAGTGTCTTCATAAAGTTGAATTTTGTATTTTTTGTCGAATACGTACGTCTTTGGAATAAGGTCGCTTACTGCAGCAAAGTACGGAAAGTACCTGTATATGTCTGCTAAAATGCTGGTGTGTGGGGAGCTGTTGTCCCTCCATAGCCCCAGCATGCTTAGTCGTGTGGCTGTACAAGCAGCTTCCTGTTGTATAAACAAATGTAGTGATCTCACGTCAAGTATAGTCTCCAGTGCTGATGTGGGAGTGGTTTTCATGCAGCCAGTGATTGCACAGCAGGCCCGCCTCTGGAGACGTCTTAACTTATTAATTGTCGTTATCTGGTTTGTCTTTGTCCACCATACTACTGCTGCATAGCTGATGATGGGCCTAATTATGGTCGTGTACAGCCATCTAACAATGAGCGGTGATAGTCCCCAAGTTTTGCTAATCATTTTGCGGCATTGCCAGAAAATGATGTTGGTCTTAGTAGTAGTTTTGTCTATGTGTGAACCCCAGTTCAGTTTGGAATCTAGGGTTATTCCTAGATACTTTACCTCGTTGGAGAGCCTTAGTGTCGTGTTAAACAGTTTCGGTAGCCGATAGTCGCCTAAGGCTCTTTTATTCGTGAACATGACTAATTCTGTCTTCACTGGATTCACCTTAAGGCCGTAGTCGTCACACCATTTTTCAACTACCTTCATTGCCCCCCGTGTAATGTCACAAGCGGTGCTCGCAAACTTACCCGGGATTAGGATTGCCAGGTCATCCGCATAGCCCACCGTGTGGAAGTGAAGGTTGTTTAGTTTGGTAATTAAGTCGTTTACGACTACATTCCATAGCAGAGGCGATAGTACTCCTCCTTGAGGACATCCTTTAGTCGCCAATGCTCTGAGATGGTTTTCGTCTTGTAGTCTGATTAGTCTGTTACGGAGCATGTTACTTACCCAGTATATAATGGTCTCATCGACTCCGTGTTTGCCAAGTGCGTTTACAATACTGGCGAAGCTTGTTTTGTCAAACGCGCCTTCTATGTCTATAAAGGTGCCCAGACATAGCTCTTTTCGTCTGAGACTATCCTCTATTTTACTTACGACTGCATGTAGTGCAGATTCTGTCGACTTGCCTGGACAATAGGCGTGTTGGTTTAGATGTAGTGGAAAGCTGGTTATCTCTCAGCTCTCTGTCACACAGTCTTTCTAAGGTTTTTAGCAGAAATGATGAGAGACTTATTGGCCTGAAAGATTTCGCTTCGTTGTAGTCGGCCTTACCTGGCTTTGGTATGAAGATTACCTTGACCTCCCTCCAAGGCTTCGGCGTGTATCTGAATGCAAGACACGCTCTCAGGAGGGGCACCAGGATAAGGATTAGCGCTTCACCTGCCCATTGAAGCAGCGCCGGAAAGATGCCATCTGGTCCGGCTGCTTTAAATGGCTGGAAGCTGTTAATGGCCCACCTTAACTTGCCCATGGACACTGTCCTCATTGCAGTGTTCCAGGATTGTTCCGTGGGGGTCCAGCAAGTGTCATTCCAGGTGTGTGTCGTGTCTATGATGCAGCCTGGAAAGTGGATTTCGAGTAGTACCCTCTGTGCCTCCTCCACTGTCTCTGTGAGGGAGCCATCAGCTTTCTTGAGCTGTGAAAGGTCTTGTTGTCTGTCTTTGGAAAGCAGTTTCCTTACCTTATTTGCCTTGGTGCATGAGTCTATTTCAGAACAAAATTTCCTCCAAGACCCATCGCTCCAGTATCGGATGCGTTTTTTATAAAGAGCCTTGGCATCTTTATACGCATCCCAGTCCTGGTCGTCACATGTGTTCATGGCCCTGTTAAAAAGTCTTCTTACCTTTTTCCTCAGTTTGTATAGCTCGGGGCCCCACCACGACTGGCTGGCATCCGAGTTGGATGATGGTGTACTGAGAGGACAGGCTGTCTGATAGCATGAGATAATTACCCTTGTTAATTCCTCAGCTGTTTCGTCTATCTTATTGGTTTCGTCTAAGCTTTCAGCCTGCATATGTCGCAGTGATCGTGTTACCTGTCTGCGATATTGGCTTCTATTCGTTTTCTTGGGTATGCGTCTTGGTGACTGGGTAACACGCTGTACCGCGATGTTGAACCTAATCCACCTGTGGTCAGAGCAGGATGCCTCTGGGGAGACGTGCCAGTCAGAGATCAATCCCGCTGCTCTCCTTGATGCAAGAGTAAGATCGATGATAGATCTACCTCTTCTTGTTACGAAAGTAGGTTCAGAACCTGTGTTTATTATGTTAAGGTTTGTGGTAAATAGGTAATCTACTAATTCCTCACCTCGTTTGTTGCTTTTCGTCATGCCCCACAGTTGGTGGGCGTTGGAGTCGGTGCCGATGATCAGCGCCTTGTCAGTTTGTTCACAGTGTCTCACCAGCTCAGCCAGTTCCCCTGACGGAGTTTCCTCTCCTTCAGGCATGTAGGCAGAAGCAACTACCAGGACAGGTACACTTGGGTTTTGCTGTTGTATTATTTGTATTGTTGTTATGTCGCTAGAACAAAATTGTGTCATTATTTTTGCCTGTAAGTGTCTTGAACATACAATGCAGGTCCGCGGTGCGCGGTTACCTGGGTTGTAAAAATTCTTACCACCGGTGTTGTTGAGGCCACAATTAGTGTTGGATCTGATCCACGGCTCTTGGACCAGAGCAATAGCCCCGTCGTTGTTCTCCTCCAGCCACTTCCTTAGTTAAGCCGTTGCGGTGCGACTGTGCTGGAGGTTTGTCTGCAGGAGCTTAATTATCTTCTGTTGGGGCGCCATCTGAGGCGAGAAGCACATCGACATCAACCTCCTGACTGATGTCGATCCCCCCAAGTTTGTCTGCCCACTCGTCAACCACGTCTGTGTCCCCCTTCTCCTCAGATGTGGACTCCATTGCAACTGGAGTGTCTGTGATGGTCTGTTGTGTCACGGCTGGTCTAGACGTGCTCTGTACCGGAGTAGATGTTTTTTCCTCTAGAGGTGGCAGGCTCTCCAGGTACTGACCACCCTGGTTCCTGAATTTCACGTATACAGAGCCCATCAAGTAGCAGAGGCGTCTGCCTCTAGCTAGTAGCCCCTCCGCGACGTCCCTGGTCGTGCTGAACACCAAAAAGGTGCTATCGTCACCTGCGATGGCCTTGTGCAGGATCCATCGGTCAACCTCTGCGAACTTGTTCTGGTAGCGCAGCAGCTTGGCGATTGTGTGTGGTTCTCGCGTCCCCGGTATGAGGAGGCCACAAACCACTCTCTTCGGCCTGTCGATCTGGCGCTGCACTACTAAGTCATCTAACCCCGGTATTTTTAGTCTGTCCACTACCTTCCTGACCCATTCCAGTGTTTTGGGTGTTTCACACCAGAGGCTCAGGGCGCCGTCCCCAATGATGGGTTTTCCCTTAAGGTTTGGGGCTTCGTCCGTTGAGGATCCTGCTGTAAGCAGTTCCTCCACAACGGCCTCCTCCAGGGCCTTAAGGACCAACCCAGCCTGGGTGGCACTAATGTGTCCCGTCTTTTTGCTGGTGTTAATCACCAGCAGATCTGCAGTAGCTGTGGCTGAGTAAGGTGCCAGCACCCGTGGCTGACGCTCGTGTTCTTTTCTATATACCTCGCCAAGTGTCGTTTTTTACGATAGTGATGGAAACGACTCTCAACAATCGATATCGATATTCCGGCATTGGTAACTATGGACAAATATATATTCAGATCTAACTCCATCTCAGCTCTGGACAATCTACGTACTAAAAGACCAAGAGATCCTGATTTGGAATGGAAAACCCCTAAACGGGTAGCACCCAGTGCACAGTACAAACCAACCCAGACAACTGTAAAAACGTTTAATAAATACAGTGTTCTCCCTAGAGATC